TGTCTCTACACAGAGACTAAAAGCTGTCTGCACTGTTTTATTATCGTGTGGACCGTATGTGCATCAAGCAAAACTAGGCCTGGATTAGAGCTAATTTAGAGTTAGTCTGGAGCTCATTTTAACCATTTCATTTCTTAGAAGTGGTCAATCTGTCTATTCTGGGAACCCAAACTGTAGCAGCACGGCTTTGTGCCTCTCAGCGCCACTTGGACGCACCCTTTCAGATTTCTGTCGGTCATTCGATGAGCAATAAGAAAACAGAAGTGACTGCTGGTAACCTCCCCCCCACAACCCGCAGACCCACTGCCAAATTTCCATTTTCGCCCAAACATCCAAGTGGTCGCAAAGCAACAGACCCATAACTCTTACAGGAGAACATTTGGGAAATGAGTTTGTGTTACACCAAACAAAAAAATGAAAATCAAAGTGAAAAAAGGTGGTCCAAGAGATACACGATGATGACTGAGCTATAAAGGCTGCCACTGGAAATACGTGATCAGTATATCAGCTTAGTATTTTCACCAAATGAAAGAAGGGTTCCTTCTCTATGTAAAACTACAGCAATTCAATAGTGAATACCAATAATAATAATAATAAATGATTCTAAACACTGACAGAGGAAAAAACTAACAATAGTAATAATAATAAAACCTCCTCTGCAGAAAAAACAACCCAAAACAAATTCAATCCAAAACTTTAAGCCAAGAGTGCCTACTGCAGTAACTTACATATTGTAAACTGGTCTAGGACACAGAAAGATAGAGATAGATATAGATCGACTGATAGCTACTACTGTACAGTACGCCACAGACAACACACTCAAGGGTCCCAACTGCACACTTCAAATCCTTTCAGAGCTTCTCTGGTTTTAGCCGATAGCCGCTACAGTTTCACAGCTCTGCTAAAACAGGTTTCCAGCTTCTTATGGTAAATAATTGAAAATATCAGGCAGCAAACAGGTGATGACGTCTTCTGGATGCTTTACATCTAATAATCTGGAGGTGTTAGAATTTAATGGACTGACCACTAAGGTGAAAGTTATGTCAGCTGCTAATTCCTCCAACCACTCCGCATGAAAGCTATCGGAGGAGAATCCCAGAGAGATTTTTGTTTTTCTAATAACCGCTCCCTTCAAGCGTTTCTAAAAAGATTTGAAATGTGAGTTTTTATTTCCTTGAACCCTTAATCAGTCCAGAGAGACACAGACAGACGGATAGCTAGCTAGCTTTAGAAGCGTTTCAGAGGACAGGAGAGGGGAAGAGGGCGTTCTCATGGAGAGCCTCCTCCTCACCCCTTTACATCATGGTTTCTACGATGGTGTGGGTGGGAGCCTTCGCCGTAACCCCGTTGTTTCCGTTGGGGTCAAGGGGGCAGGTGAGCTCGCTCGGGACGCGGTGGTCCGCAGGGCGGGAGCTAGCACCTCCGCGAGCTGGGGCCGCCACGGCCTTAATCCTCTGCAGGACAGAAAGATTGTACAGATGTAAAAAACTTATATACAAATACTTCTCCATTTCTTACTACTGCTACGTTCACAGTAAAGCATTGGAGCGTCAGAGGCGGCCGCTTTCCACGCCAAACTTGCAGCGGCCGCGCATTAATGAAGGTGGACACAACCCACTGAGCTGTACACCAGTGGAGCTTGAAACTCTGGCCCTAAACTTTATTTCATCCACCGTGTGCAAACTTCATACAAAAAGACTCATTCATGAACTTTGGTTATAACTTTGCAAATTAGGACCAAACAGGCCAATTAGGCGATGACCCAATCTAGTGACCGTTAGCACAGCTGATAGCGGCTTTCCTCGCTGCAGACTGGCTTGTTTTATAACGACTGTCATTTAATTAGAGATGATTTTGAATGGAAATGTATCAATTCTCTATGTTTCGAACTGAAGTCGGTTTTACTCACCTCGATCAGCGGCCCGTCAGACTGAATGATCTTGATGACCACCACCATGGGGATGCAGATCATGGAGGTCAAGGCAAGAGTCCAGCCTATCCCAATGGCCCAGTCAGGATACTGGTACACCTTGTTGTATGTCAATGGCTTGTATTTGACCAGAGAGAAGATAAAGCAGCTCTGGGGAGGAGAAGCAGCGCTTTCAAACCCAAAGTCTTTGCTTTTAAAAACCACAATCATCAAGGTGGAGAGAAACTAGCAGCGATGCAGAGAGGAAAAGTGCGTTCCTTACCATGCACAGTAAAGGAGTGATCACAGTCCAGCTCCATTTCATCCAAGGATTTGGTCTGTAGCCAATCATGTCCTCGATTGCATCATAAAAATTATCAGCGCCTGCAGAAACAACAGCTGCTTATTTCTCAGCAGTAAAACTTTCATGGCAGTAAACGCATCTTCCTGCTCAAACCAAACCGTAGGAATAAAAAAAATAAAAAAAACCCAACCTAGGTCATCTGAACCACATTGAAGTTTAGCAGGGAGCTCTTCAAATCAAACCAGTTAAGATGGTATATATATAAACGGCTGAATCAGAACAATATTTTACACCAAATCTAACAAGTAGAATCTAGGATTAAACATCAACGATTTGCCATTTTTACTGTTTTCTTTTAGTAAAGAGGGAGTCTTTCTCTCCACTGTCGCCATATGCATGCTCGATGAGAGAGTTTGCTGCACAGTCATTGACTGGAAGCAATCAGCTGGTTTTGCTTAGACAGCAAAGTTTAATCTGACTGGATGATCCGATTGCTCTAGATCTATTAAGAGGCCTGAGTTGACAGGATGGGAATAAATAAAACTGAATATAAATTAAGATAATTTTTATTATAAAAGGGTTGAAATAGTTAATCGTGATTCATTAATTATTCAAATAAAAGCCAGCTAGTTTAGTAATGAACTAATTATTAATAGGAGTTTACAGACTGGAGCACAAGCCAATAATTATCCCAAAACACTTCTAAATATTTTGCATTTAAGGTGAAAAACCTTCTTAGTGAGATAATCAGCTCCATGCAGAATGATTCAGGTGGCACAGTTATAGCTTCACCTGTTTAAAATCTCTAAAACATCTTTAAGCAACTTTGAATCAAGAAATTCATTAATTTGCGGAATAATTATTTGGGATGCACGATATTGGGATTTT